TTAGCTTTTCTTTGTCTGGGAAAGCTTTTATTTCTCCCTCATTTCTGCTGAGGAATCCACTGACATTGAGACTACCTTGCATGTGATATGGTTATCTTGTACTGCTCTCAGAATTTTTTATTGTCTTTTATTTTTGATAGTTTTATTATTACATGTCTTGGTTAACTCTTCCTTGAGTTCAAATTGATTGCAAACTCCTGCACTTCCTGTATCTAGATATTGGCATCTTTCCCCCCAAATTTGGGGAGTTTTCAGGCACTATTTCTTTAAATATGCTTTCTGACACTTTTTTTCTCTCTTCTTCTTGAATTCCTATTATATGCATGTTAGTTCTATTGATGGTGTTGCATGATTCCTGTACGCATTCTTTATTCTTTTTTCTCCTCTGGCTGAATAATTTAAAATGTTCTGTCTTTGAGATCACTGGTTATTTCTTTATCTTGACTGAGTTTGATGATGAAGTCTTCTATGCAGTGTTTTCAGTCCAGTCATTGTATTCCTCATCTCTAGGATTTCTATTTTTTTTTAAGTACCTATTTCTTTATTTTTTTGTCAAACCTCTCATTTTGTTCATGTGTTGTTTTCTAAATTTCATTTAATTTTCTGTCAATATATTCGTATAGTTCACTGAGCTTCTTTAAAAGGATTATTCTGAGTTCTTTGTCATTTTATAGATCTTTCTTTCTTTATGGTCCATCATTGGAGCTTTATTAGTTTCTTTTGGAGGTATCATGATTTTCTGATTCTTCATAATCCTTGTGTCCTGGGTTGGTGCCTGCATATTTGAGGAGACAGTGACCTCTTACAGTCTACAGGTGTTCTTTGGCAGGGATAGACTTTCACTATTTAATCTACCCTGTGATTATGGATAGGTCACGTGGTAATGGCCACAGTAGGCAGAGCTTGCTGTTGGGTTCACTGGTTGGCTGGGCCACTGCCGTTGCTTTGAGGTTGTGTGAAGCTGCTGGCTGGGCTCTGCTGTGAAGTGAGACCACTGGCTGGGCTCTGCTATCAGGTGAGGCTGATGGCCAAGCAATGTGATGGCCCCTGATCAGGCCAGGTCACAGGGTATATCCCTGGCTGGGTGGTATCACTGTTTGGGTTCCACAGCTGGGCAGGGCTGCAGACTGGGTTTTGATGTTAGCAAAGTTGCCATTCGGGACAAATGGGACCACAGGCTATACGCCATAGAAATGCACAGTTGAGGCTTGCTGCCCTGCTTGGGTGGTGCCTTATTGTGGGCTCTGGGGCCAGATCAAGCCACTTTTTGGCTTCCCATGTCAGACAGGTTTGGCACCTGTGCTTTGAAGAAATGCAATGTTGTGGGCATCTCCCTGAATAGGCAGGGCCTTGAAATAGGCTCTGACGCTGGGCTTGGATGCTGGATGTCTAGAGACTAAAGCCAGGTTGAACTTCCCACCATGCTTCTGGGAGTGATCAGTCCAGCTTTGGACGTGGGCTGTGCTGTTGGCTGGTATCTCTCTCTGGGCACCACAGCTGGCAGGACCACAGAGCTACTGCCAAGATCTGCACACTGGTCACTGTGAGCTCTGTCTCGTTTTCTTGTTTCTAACTGACCCCAGACAGTCTAACCATGCCATTACTTCCAGTGTCCCCCATAAGGCAAGACTGGTCTGAGCTTCCTGGGATGCACCTCAGAATGCTAGGGAAGCTGGATGTCTGTCTCTGTTGTTTTCCCATTTTAAAATCATGGGCCCCAGGCCCTCCCATGACTACAGCCACTACTACAAGATCTTCGAGGACCTGCAGGACAAGATTCTTGGTGCCGTCAGTGAGAACTCCAGGATTGTCCTGCAGATCAACAACGCCTGTCTGGCTGCAGATGACTTCCAAACCAAGTATGAGAGGGAGAAGACTCTGCTCATGAGTGTGGAGGCTGACAAAATGGCCTGCACAGGGTGTTCATTTAGCTGACCCTGGCCAGGACCGACCTGGAGATGCAGACCGAAGGCCTGAAGGAAGAGCTGGCCTACCTGAAGAGAACCATGAGGGGGAAATTAATGTCCCGAGGGGCCAGATGGGAGGCCAGCTCAGTGTGGAAGTGGATTCGGCTCCAGGTGCTGATGCCACCAAGATCCTGAGTGACATGCAGAGCCAACATGAGGTCAAGGCCGAGCAGAACCGGAAGGATGCTGAACGCTGGTTCACCAGCCAGACTGAGGAACCGAACCAGGAGGTTGTTGGCCACACAAAGCAGCTCCAGATGTACAGGTCTGAGGTCACTGACCTGTGGCACACCCTCCAGGGTCTTGAGATTGAGCCACAGTGGCAGCTCAGCATGTAAGCCGCCTTGGAAGGCCACCAGCGCACTTTGGAGCTCAGCTGGTACAGATCCAGGTGCCGATCAGAAGTATTGAAGCTCAGCTGGGCGATGTGCTTGCTGACAGTGAGAGGCAGAATCAGGAGTACCAGTGGCTCATGGACATCAAGTCGCGGCTGGAGCAGGAGATCACCACCTACCTCAGCCTGCTTGAGGGCCAGGAAGATCACTACAACAACCTGTCCACCTCCAAGATCCTGTAAGGCGGCAGGCTCCTGGGCTTCTGCTTTCCTTTGAAGGGTGTCTCCTGGGTAGGAGGATGAGAAGGAAGGGACACTTACCTCTGGCTCTTCCCCGATCTGCAAATAAAATTTCATGACCCAAGGAAAAGCAAAATAGAATCGTGGACCCGGGGGAATTCTGTGTGGCCCTATGCCAACTTGGGGAAAAGGGAGGAGAGATGTGGTCAAAATAAGACCATTTCTCTTACCATTTTAATGTGGTTTTTATCCAGTTCTGTGGTCCACACTAGTATCAGGCTCATTCCCAATTTAGGGGGTTTTTCACAAAAGTTCTTGTCTGTGGACAGTTGTTAGCTGGACATTTTGTTGAAGGGACATGAAGTCTGGGACCTCCCATTCAACATCTTGCTATTGTCACTCTCCCCTCCTTGATCTTTTTGACTAAAAAAGCATCTGTCTGATGCAGTGGCTAATGGCTATAATCACAGCCCTTTGAGAGGTCAGGGTGAGGGGATAGGTTTAGGCCAGGAGGTTGAGGCTGCAGTGAGTCATGATCATGCCGCTGCACTCCAGCCTGGGCAATACAGTGAGGCCCTATCTCTAGAAAAATAAATAAAATAAAATAAAATAAAGCCTCATGGCTCCTTTTGGTCACCTTTACCTTTTTTTCCTCAAAAACAGGTCATCTTTACCTTCTTTTAAATCCTCAGTTCATTTGGGTCTTACTTTATAGAACTTTTATAGTACATCTGCTACATTTCCCCATTCACCTTTGGTTACTTTCCCTTCTTATATTTTATAAACATGTCATTTGAAATTTGAGATTAATAGACAACCATTTGACTTTCCTGAGCTGTCTCCTATTTTATCTGCATTATTTCTTGGTTTTAAAAAATCTCTCTTCATTAACCATAATCTTATTTGAGACTCAATTTCATGAATCAAAACTATTTTTTTCCTTGAATATTTTTAAAGTTTCCTCAAAGCCAGAGTATTTGCCTGACTCTATTCGGGGTTCCCTTTTCTGGCCATAAGAGCTTTGAATGCTCACAATTTTTCATACAGTATATTATTGATAATAGTGTCACAGGTGATATACTCTCACTGGTATACTACAATTTTCACAAAACTCAAATACATTTTTCCTGAAAATAAAACATTGTAATCATTTTTAGTTGCCACATATATTGGCTACATATAGTTAGGCTTGCTCTCTACAATGTTTCTGGGGATACTGATAAACAAGCTATTGATTATGTGGCATTCCTTGCTACTTTTGCTAACACCAGTCTTTCTCTCTCACTTAAGAAAACATAGTTGTAAGAACATGAGAGCAATGATATCATCGAGATAACCTTGACTACACTCAAATGTATGTATTTTTAGAAGGCAGATCATGTGCAATTTTCGTGCTTTCACCATTAGTAATAAATTACTTGCAACACACTTCATGTGTCAAAACCAAGCTGAGAAATAATCCAGGTGTGTTCTCCTGAGGTTCCTATCCCCTCCGCATCATCAACTAGCTTTTTCACTCCATCAAAATTAAGTCCAGGCTTCGCTTGATTTTCATTATGAGGACAGTAAGTAATTTATCTGATGAGGATGGTCCAAGTAAACTGCCTTGACAAATAACCTGCCTTTGTACAATTCAGACACCTTTCCATATCCACCATTTGGCTCAGTAGTCTGTAACATTATACAGTCATATTATTTCTAATATTGGTAGTATTTTAGTATTCTGTTTCTATGGGCCTTTTAAATTCATGGCAATGAAATTGCATGACATCTATAGCAGAGTAAGGACATAAAAGTTTTGTAACCATTTAATTTAAAGTAAGTTGATCTAAAATAAATTCAAGCTAAAGACAAAATTGTCTGCAAAAGATATTTTTTTTAATTGAAACAATGAATACTGAATTGAAAACTGTTAGCTCATTAGACAAAGCACTGAGTGATGAAAGCACCAAGGACAACCAGGCCTGAAAGAAAGGAAAGGAGATGGGATGAGAGGAGAGGAGAGAGGAGGGGAAGGGAGGAGACGAAAGAGGATGGGAGGGGAGGAAAAAAGGAAAGAATAAAAGGAAAAGAAAGAAAAAGAAAGGAAGGTGGGGACGGAAAGGAAAGGAAAGAAAATTATATAAGAAGGGGAATTGGAGGAGTTCTGAGAAGGCTATCCATTCATACAGATTATGCCTAAACTAGAATTATTTTTTCTTTTTAATTAAGAATGATTTAGAATGAACAATTTTTCCATTCTACAGCTGCTTGTATTATAATTTCTAGAAAGTGGTACCTTAAAGTCCATCTGTTTGTTACACAAAATATTGATTTTCTTATTATTTTAAATTTAAAAATTATTAAATTTTCTACTTCAGGACTGCTGATACAGCTTTAGAAATCTATTCTATACTTCCAAATCTTCCTTGTAATGAGAATATAATCTTTAGCAAGATGGCAGCCACAACTCCCCCCGCTGCATGCTTGTGGCATCAAGAAAGGGAAGCGGTAGGAGGCCCAGAACACTAGCGGGACTTCTACCCATGTCAGGGTAGAGGTAAGAGAATCCAAGAAGGGGGTAGGTGAGACTGTAGACAGGAGTAAGGGAGAGTCACCAGAACAGGACCTCTACACCCTCTTTGGGCAACCAGGTGAGAGGTGCCCGGCCAGTGAGTCCAGATACCCCAATCAGCATTGGGATGTCCTGCAGAAAGCACATTATGAAGGTAAGACAGGAATGAGTGGCATCCTTGGAACCACCTAGTGGGAGTTGAACTGCATCGGCAGAGGGGGTATGGCAAGTCCAGCATCCAGTTGAGCAATTAGGGGAGATCATGAGAGCAGTGTTCAGCCGTGGCTAGGGGGTAGTCTCACCATGGATGGGGGCAGTCTCACCATGGATATGTGGCAGTCTCACCAATGGCAAAGGAGGGGCAGTTGACAGTAACCAGGGCTTGACTGTGAAGAGTGGACAAGTGGCTGAAGGTTGGTGAAGGGATGGTCAGCAAGCCAGATTTGGCCACTCAGTGGGTGACCAAAATGACCCTGTTGTGGAAATTGTCAGTGACTTCAGTGCTGAGTAATCAGTGAATAGGTCTCAAGAAGCAACATCTCGATGTGAAATGTCGGGCCACCTGGAGCAGTGAAAGACAGCAGGCACACTGGGGCTTGGAAAATGGCTCTAGGGATATAAAAGGAGTTGAATGGACTTGGCAGTATCAGGCTTGGAGCTGCTTAATTGCAGAGCAGTGACAGGCCAGAATGGAAGAGGAGGACCAGGAGAACTCAGAACTAAGCAGTAATGTCTGCAGACACTATGCACTGGAGGATGTTGTAGATGCAAAAGTGTGATCTTGGAGGTGGTCCAGTGAAGCCAGAATTTCAGGTCTTGTCCATCCCAGATGGCTGCCCAGCACAACTGAGGTTTCCAGGAGGTGCAGGCCATAGAAACTGAGGTGGGGGTGGCCTACTAGGCAAATGCCAGGTAGCAATTAGTCGAGGTGGGTGGGCCAGTCTCCATGGCTATCCTGGGTATTAACGGTGAAGGTGTCTTCCAGCAGGTAGAGAAGTCTATGTCTGGTCCAAGAGGGCCTGATGGGGCAGGGGCCCTTGTAATCCTGATATGAGGTGCACAGGCAGTGCCTGGGCCCAAAATGTGTCTGTGAGGTGAAGGTAGAGAAGCTTTTGTGCATGAGGTAGCTCCTCATAGACCAGATAGACTCAAGTTGGGGTTAAGGGCTATGAGTGTTGCCTCTGTCCTGTGAAGATGGAAGGTGTATAAACCCACTGGAGCACACCTAAATGTCTCAATAGCTCTCTTCCTTCCTTTGTGGTAGGTACATCATCCACTTTCAGTTCAGCCCTGGTTGTAAGGAGGCTCATGCTGGAGTGTGGTGCTTGCCAGGCCATAAACAGTCAATGCAACAGAGCACAGGAGTAGCTTCTGTCACGCCTGCCTGCTCTGGGTCCAGAGTCCCACCTGACTGTGCTTCCTGGATAAACTTGACAGGATCGTTAAGTAATGAAATCAATCTTCCCATCTTTGGAGATAGCTGCCAGCTGTTGTATTCTTGGCCTGTGAATTGTAGACCCTTCCTGTTCAGTACGCACAGTACAGCCAGGTGGCACCTTTCCTGTTGGGCCTCCGCATGAGGTGTTTGAGTGGGCTTCGAATTTCTGCCTGTGTCAAAGGGCCTACAGTAGTACCCCCTTATCCGACGTTTTGTTTTCCATGTTTTCAGATACCCAATTTCAACCACAGTCCGAAAATTTTTAATGGGAAATCTACAAATAAACAATTCATAAATTTTAAGTTGATCTTGGAGGTGGTCCAATCAAGCTAGAGTTTCAGGTTTTGTCCGTTTCATATGGCTGCCAAGCGCTAGTAGGGCTCTGAGTGTTTCCAGGAGGTGTGGCTGTGAGTGGTCTGATGAAATCTTTTGCCATCCTGCTCCATCCCACCCAGGATGTAAGCCATCCTTTGTCTGGAGGATCCACAGCATGCACTCCCCGCCCATCAGTCACTTAGGAGGCACCATGGTTATCAGATGGACCGTTGTGGTATCACGGTGCTTGCATTCCAGTAATACTTATTTTACTTGACAGTGGTCCCAAAGCACAAGAATAGTGACACAGGCAACTTGGATATGCCAAAAAGAAGCCGTCAACTGCTTCCTTTACATGAAAAGGTGAAAGTTCCTGACCTAATAAGGTAAAAAAAAAACCCTCATATGCTGAGGTTTCTAAGATTTAAGGTAAGAATGCATCTTCTATCCATAAGAATTTCCTTAGTCTGTTTTCTGTGGTCATAACAGAATGGACAGGAGTAAGGGAGAGTCACCAGAACAGGACACTGAGTAATTTATAAAGAAGAGAGGTTTACTTTGGCTCACAATTCTGGAGGCCTAGGAGTCAAAGATCTGCCCACTATATCTGACCAGCTTCCAGTGAGGCCTCTGCCATGTCACAGCATGGCAGAGAAATGGAAAAGGAAGCAGAGTGTGCCAAAGGGAGCCAAGACAAGGAGGAACCTCACTTTGTAACAACCAACTCTGATGGTTACTAACCCAGTCCTGCTAGAGAGAGTGCTTGCTTTGGGATCTGGGATTTGTTCTTCCTCACCCTAGCTGTTTCTGGAGGTGGCAGCTGCTTTCTTAACTGTGGCCAGGAGGTGACTGGCAATGCCTGTGGTGCCACTGGGGGTAATCTGGCACACTCAGGATGATCACACAGCAGCTCACAGGCCTCCAGGTCAGCCAGGTGCAGAGTGGCAGCTCTGAGGTGAGGGAGCCCCGTGATTTGGATGTGCTGCACATGGGCTGCTGCCAGCAGCACCCAGTAGGCATTGTAGGGGTGGTAAAGCCCTGGGGAAGCTGCACTGTCTCACTGGGAGCATGCAGAGGAACAGAGATAGCAGCAACAGGCCTGTTGGTGATTTGGTGACTTTGCTAACAGCATTAGACCAGGGGTCTGTTGGAGAAGTCTCTTTCCCCGGTTGGCGGGCAACAGATAAGCTTTCTGTGGAGAAGCTGTACTTGAGCCTTCTTGGTCTGTGAGGTCATGATGCCAGGACCTTTGGGGACGGGGAGCTCCTCTCCCATACCTGAGGCTAGAGACACACCAGTTGGTGGGTGGCTCTTCAAGCCCAGGGTGTCCCCCAGCTTACAGCATTCCTACCACCCTCCTCCTAGGAGCCCACCTTCCTGTGGGACCAGAGTGGTCTTACAAGTAATTTTGGCAAATTTTGCCTGGTGTCTACCTCCAAAACAGAGGCATGAAGTGAAGGTAGAAGGCAGCAACAGATGTGAAAATAGAACAAAAACTGCCAGACCCACTGTAGAGTGTTCCTCAGATCTCACCCAATCTCTCGATCACAGCCAGGCCCTGGCCACTCTCCCTTGATCCTCCTATAGAAATGGGTGTCGTCACTCATTGACTTACTTAAATTTCATCCTCAAGGAAAGCAGGAGTTGGCTGGTGTCATGGGCCGGATATAGTCAGAGGTCAGATGACCAACTGACTAGGAGGGCTTCTATTTGAGGACCATTCTCAGAGTTTGGGAGATCTTTCCCATTTCTTATACATGTATTCAGTCTGGGTCAATTACCAAGTGTTTCTTTCATAGAGCAGGTTTAATCTAGTAAGGGTAGGCTTTGTTCTAAGATTTATGAAAGTTGCATCTGTGCTGAGGTGGCCTTGTCTCCTGGAAATCCCTGGGTCAGGTTGCATCCTGCTAAGTTGCATGTAATATCAGCCCTGTGAGATGCTTGAGTGGGTCTTATCACTATCATTAATCTTAAAGCCACAAGATGTCTCTTATAGTACACTACAGTTATTAAAATATTCCCTTTCTTAAAAAACTAACTTTTATTTATGAACTCCTTTCCTATGTATTTAAGTTCCCCGATGTTTTTAACCTAGGAAAAGAGTCTAACCAAATGAATCTACTGAGGCTTCCCTTTCAAAATCCTCAAATATCCTTTGGGGTTCTAAAACAGACTTTCAAAGGGCAGTAAGTAATTTCAAAAGCTTTTTCTTTATCAACAGAAATCAAAAGATAATATGGCAGAAGACAAACTGCTTGGCTTGTGATTCTTTGGCCACTTGTATATCTTCTGACAAAGCAGAAGAAAGAAGGAATGAAGGAAGGAAAGGGAGGGAAGACCAGGAAGGAAGAAAGAAGAGAGAAAATAAGAGCAAATAGCAAAATATTAAAAGACTGATTTAAAGTTATTTTTAAATATCCATATTATCTGTCAGCAGATATGTTTCAATGCAACAGTTACCATTTTTAAAGAAATGGTCTATTTGTCATAATCCTCTTTGTATACTTACTTTTACTAATACCTATATTTCTAAAGAAAAGCAAAAATTTTTCTTACATGCAATATGAACACAACTCTATAGTATTACAATGTATAATGGTATGAAGAGACAGAGCCCTCCCTCCCCCATGAGTTAGATTTAACCTTAGTGAACGAAAAATCCTTTGTGATCCCACACTCTCCATTAGGCAACGTCAGAAAACGTCCACAGAAAATGCCATAATGCACTTCGAACATGAATAAACATCAAGGCTTAGCTGGTTTTGCTAATGTTTCCTCGTTACTCAAAAAACTGTATTTTTAAATACAGAGTTCATTTGCTACTTTCATATGAACTTATTTTTAAGAACTAAAACAGTACCCTAAAAAGTATTAACAATTTAGTAAGCAACACTCTAAAAATTATTTCTGTAGACCTTTTCCACACAAGAAAAAAAATCAACGTTATTTGTCTTTTCAGTTCAGAGGTCCCATCCTATTTTTTAAACACACTTAAAAGCATTCCATTTGTGATTTTCACACACAATGTGAAAATCTGTCCAAAAGTCATCCAAACCTAGGGTCAATTATGCCCTTAGATGCTAATTTAAGGGTATAAATTGTACATTTATTAAACATGCACCTGAGCTGCACAACCTTAGCAATAATGCTCTGGTCTGGAACTTTCACTTTTAAAAGTCACCTGAGAGTCCACACTTGACCTCGAACAAAGCAGCAGTTTTTCTGAGTCATCCCTGTGACTTCGTGTCCAGAGCTCACCTACACTTTGAGACCTGGGAAACAGGGTCTCAAATTGGATATAAGTCTCTTTTGCCAAATCATCTTCCCAAAAAGGTTCTGACTTACATTGCAGTTTGCAAACTTTGTACAACAAGAAACAAATCAATAGTAAGACAACAACACAGGCAGTACTGGTCATCACGAGAAGGAGAGACCATTGAGAATCATCTCCTTCTACTGTTTCGGTAGAAAAGGTGATGCATTGGTCTTTCTGGGGAGGCACTCCTTTTGGACAGACACAGGCCATGTATTGCCCACCAGGTTCCAAGCCATCTATGGTTACTTGGTTCTTGCTGGAGTCTGCATTCAACAGCAGCAGGTCCTTCCCACCATACTTGGAATACAACACAGTCACTGCAGAGTTATGTGTGGTGTTGATCATATTCCACGTCAATGTCACACTCTCTTTAGTCTCGCTGACCACCCTGAGGTTTTCTATTGTGGCATTAGTCTCCGTAAGCATTGTTTGATCCAACAATGCCAGCTCTTCTTTCTTACTTGTGCTGGCTGGAGGAAGCTTACTTCCACTCTTTGCTGCCTTTAAATTTCTTTTCCCATCTGGGTGGAGCTGGAATGATTGCTTGTTGGCCATGGTGGTGGCTGAGATGCTTGTGCTCAGAGTTGTGATTGAAGAAACAGTGGAGGAGAAGAAAGGAGATAAAGAGAAGGAAGCAGTAGAGGGAGGGGACAAAGTAGAAGCAGAAAAAGAAGATGTCGAGGAGAAGGAAGAGGACCAAGGATACGATGATGCGCTAGATCCAGATGTAGATCTTCCAGATCCCGGCTGTGCATCCCCCTCAGGATGATCTCCAGTTCTTTCAGAAGTGTCTGGTGGTATCAGAGTTGTGGTAATGCCAAGCACTGTCACAGTAACCACAGCTTCTGACATCCCAGCCAGATTTTTGGCCTTACACTTGTAATCCCCAGCGTCTTTGGAAGAAATGCTTGTCAAGCTCATTATGGACCATCTGACTCCTTCCTCTGGAGATTCTTGTATTACTGGAAGAAAACAAATATATACTCTGTGAGAAACAAAAGGAAAATTCAAGCAACCATGCCAACTAAGGAGGAAACAATTATCCGCTCTACATGCATCTCTCACAGAAACCGAGAGGGAAATGGCACCCTGCAAGTCTCTGACAGTGGGCGATGGTTCTGCAAACTGCTTACATCAAGGTCTAGGAGCTGCCAGGTGTTGTGAGGTCTGTATAGGGAATAGTATTTTTAAAAGACAAAAGGCTGGGAATCAGGAGACTTGGGTTTTAGAAACTTTTGCCCACTAAATAGCATGTGGTTGTGAATAAGTCAATTCCTGTCTTTAGGCCTCTGTTTCTGCATTTATAAGAGGATGAAATAAAGTAATCTCAAAGGTCCCTTTCAGTTTTAAGTCACTGCGATTCTACAGAATGTTTATCATATGACCTTACATAAGTATTGCTTATAATATGTTTTCACGGTAATAAAATGCATATATCCTTCTAGCCAGAGGTACAGCGGATCATTTTCTGGCATGGCAGAGTCATCATTTGTATTTGGAATGATTTATATTTAACTTAGATAAACTAGCAAATCATGGATTCTTCTGTTTGCAGAATAACATATAATTTTTTAAAAAATCAGAATTTTGCTATCCTAGACTCTGATATCTGGGTATATTTTCATTCTGTCTTGATTTCAGAAGCTTTTCAAAGAATAATAATGCACAGAACAATATCCCAGTAACCCAAAACTTAACTCACAAGCTGAAACTGTGGACCATTGACTACCTATATATAGGAACAGTAGGCCTTAACTTCTTTATTTCCACCAGGTTTCATCATTTCAACCTGAATTTTAGTTTAATTTTGAAGAGTTTTAAAAATATATCACTTTAATTGTCAGAATAACACTCTTGAAACTGGGTACAAAGCATGCATATTGTCACACTAGAATCTGAAAAGTCTATACAATCAATATTTCTAAAAATTATACTTTTTGATTCATAATAAGGTCTCCATGTAATTTATTATTTAAATAATTATTCAAAAATGAGAGACTTGTACAAAAGCCTCACTCCACCCGGCGTTTTTTTTTTTTTTTTTTTTATTTTGGAGACGGAGTCTTACTCTGTCACCCAGGCTGGAGTGCAGTGGTGCAATCTTGACTCACTGCAACCTCTGCCCCCTAGGTTCAAGCAATTCTCCTGCCTCAGCCTCCTGTGTAGCTGGGATTAAAGGTGCACACTACCAAGCCCGGCTACTTTTTGTATTTTTAGTAGAGATGGAGTTTCACCATGTTGGCCAGGCTGGTCACAAACTCCTGACCTCAGGTGATCTCCCCACTTCGGCCTCCCACAATGCTGGGATTACAGGCGTGAGCCACTGCACCCGACCAGCAAAAGGCCCTTTTTAAAAAATTGTAATAGTTGTACATTTTAAAGTGAGCTGTATCCAAGATGATGAAGCAAGACAAAGGCCTTGTCTGCCATTGATCCATTCACTGCATTGTTTCATTCTACCTAAGAAAAAGAGTTTAGATTGTCTAATTTTATCTAGGTAGTTAGATAAACTGAGGAGAATACTAACCAATAAAATGTACCTTTAAAATCCCTTGCACCCAATAATCTTGAAATATTTTATTAGTGTTAACTAGCTAATTTCAAATCACACAAAACATGATGTTAACTTCAGAGCTTAATAAACTCCTTTGATCATGGGGCTGAATTAAGAAAGTACCTGTATAATTAACTGGCGAGCTGTCAGATCTGGTCCATGTGAGCTGTGGGGTGGGGAAGCCAGTGGCATCACACCGCAGTAGAACATTACTGCCCAGAGCAGACATGATTTTGGTGGCTGAGGTCATCACTGATGGTTTCAGACAATGCTCCAATTCAGCCCGCTGAAACAAAATTCCTGTGAGGCGTTCAGGTTCACTGCAAGTCATCAGTGGGTCCAGAAGCACTATAGCAGGGTCAACAACCTTTGACAACTCGATCATTTTGGAAATACGACAGTCACAGAACCAAGGATTGTCCTGTAGACCTAAAACAGAAGGTGGGAAAGGTTGACAAAGATAATTCTGATGACTCAGTTTACGTCCTACCTCTTGAGAAGGTAGGGATCTACACTATCTCCCTAAAAACAGAAGTGCTTTGAGGGATGAAGCAGAGTCACCTTTATGTCAGTTTTGCTCTGCAATCCAGCAATCCCGATGAATATATCCTGTCCATTAGTTCAGATCATTAATAATCATGGCTAATACTTATTGAGCATTTACTCTGCTAGATTATCTTCTAAGCACTTACCTGTATTATCACATGTAATCCCAATAATCCTATGAGAAAAATGGTATTATTATCCCTATGTTAATGATGAAGCTCAGACTTCATCTATCCCTATGTTAAAGATGAGGCCTCAGAGGGGCCCAATAACTTGGCCAAGGTCACAAAGCTAATTAGTATCAGAGCTAAAACTTTAATCCAGGTACCACAGAATGCCACAATACAGTAATAAAGATCTTTCAAAGGTGTTATGAAAGTACCTACAGTATTGTAAGTGTTATAGGGTTCTCAGAGGCACCAAATTCAGCCTGGAATAGGTTATGGTTTTATGTGATTTGAAGGTGTATTGAGGTAATGCAAGCTTTGTGTGGCAAAAAATACGGAGTGAGATGCTGGCAATGGCGGGAGAGAAGCCTAAAAAGCTGGTGGAAGCAAGAGCGTGGCTTGGCATGAATGTCATATGTGGTGACCATGAAGGTGACTTGCTCAATATTCCTTCAAGAGAGAATCAGCTGCAAGCAACGCGGTTAGCGGACAGCTTCCGGTTGCAAGCATCTTCAGGATGTCTCACTTTCAGAATTGTTAGCAGAAGCCTTTGGGCCTTCAAGGAGGCTATCAGTGAGAGCTTGAAGAAAAGTGAGGAAAATGTTGCTGGAAACTAGAGGAAAGAGGATCTTTGCTATGGAGTAGCAAAAAGTTTAGCAGCACTGTCACCTGTGGTCCACATGGAAAGTCAAAAACATATTCAATGCAATGTGGTCTACCTAAGGATATTTCCACAAAGACTGTTCAAACTACTCCCTGGTGTGTTTCAGGTAATAAAATACAAAGGAGAGGCAAAGTTAAAGAAGAACTGTTAAATATAAAGGAACCGAAACTTGTTGAGTTCAATTAAAAAATTGTTTCTTATTCTCGGCCTCTCCAAAATTCTCAAATTAAGATAGAACTTCAGAGCAAACATCAAATCCAGGTGGGACCATAAAATTTTGTGCTAAAATCTCAGAAGGATCTAAAATGGAGCTTTAGAGCATTCTGTCAGGCAAAAGTCTCTCTAGGATCTTAGGAGTGATGTTCCATAACAGCCTCATATAAAGCCCAAGACAGAAAAAAATTTATCACAGAGATTTGTGGTTATAGCTTTTTACTAATGGAGTGGATTATAAATTGAGAAGAAAAGACAGAACTGCAATTTTACAAATTCTAACCATGGTGGAAATGTAACTGTTAGTTCATAAATTCTAGATTTTTATTATACTTTTTAAAAATTATAATAGCAAGTCATGACTGGCTCATATTTTTCTGCCAGTATTGGTAAAAGTTTACTTTTTCATCTCCTGTTTTAGAAGTATGCTTTTCTTCCATGGGTGAATAACTTTAAACTTTTCCTCTTATATTTAATGTTGTTAATCTATACCTAGTTATTGAATCAATATTAATTTGAATTCTATTATCTTAACTGTTGGCTCTTTCATCCAATATTATGTGATAAGCAGACTTTCTGGCTTATTTTATATTGCTATGACTAAGTGTGGCTCTGGAACTTAATGTCTGGGCTGAAATCTCGGTTCTATCAAGCTTCACTCCCATGAGTAGATATCTATAATAACAACCTCTGTCAGCCTCATCTATAGAATGCAGTAGTTCTTTCATAGAGTTGCATGAATTTTTAATTACATAATTCATGGAAATTACCTTGAACAATGGTTTATTCACAGTAGAATCTCTGTGACCTTTAAACTTTCTTGCTGAACACAGTACTTAAAATCTTTTGTAAAATATTGGTCATTTCAATCTCTGAATGAGTCATTTCAATCTCTGAATAAGTAACACATTTCATACACATAAAACATGTTCCCTATACTAGAGTCCATATTTTCTTGATCTTAACAAAAGAAACCAAATGTAATACAATCTGTACGTCTAGTAAGAAAGAATTCAAAACAAGTACATAAGTAATGGTGGAGATATGATCTGATAGATACCGAAACACCTATAATAATGCAGTCAGTTCATAGACATTCAAAAACCCACTTCACCACCAGATACCACATTAGATATTCAGTCATTATTGTTCATATTAGTTGACCTGATACATGAAGGCCAGATTTAAATATATGAAAGAGAAATTTTAAAAGTAACAGGAAATGACATTCTCACCAACTTTACTGTGCCTGGGTTCCTGATGAGGCTCAACCATTAATTAATTCTGTGACCTGGATGATGCAACCTTGCTGAGCCTCAGTTTTCTCTTCAGCAAAATGGGAGAGTTGACTAGATACATGCTAGAGCTTTTTATACCCGTAATGTTCTATCTGCCTATAAAATAAAAATAATGATCATAGACTAAAAGAAACCATAGATGGAACAACAAACTAACACTAAAATCCATCATCACTCAGTAAAAAGCAGAAGAATATGATAGAATGCCTAATTTGTAACATTTTAATCTCTATTGATTGAGGTGCTAAAGATAATCTGTGGATCTAGACTCTCCTAATAGTGCTTATTTTTAAACATTAAATCTTTCAAGTTTGTGACTTTTCTATGTCTACACTGATACACAGTTCAAATGTGAATATCATACAAAGTGAAGCTAGTTTATCAACTTTGACTATAATACAGACTAAAAGTAGTCAATTCTCCTTTTATAAACAATATAACTGGTTTTACTTATTAAAATTGAGGGGAGGGGGAATCACTAACCTCTTCCAAAGGCTGAAATCCCTTCAGTAGTTTATTTTACTTTGTATATGTACTTTTTACATTAACCAGTTTTGCTTATATACATGTAAATGTTATTATAAAGAACTAAATTTGGAATTAGATTGTTTGACTGTGACCCACACAATTTAACAAATTAATCAGGTCAGTTTGTGTGTAACATGCCAATAACCTCTACAAAAACTTATAAAAGATTAAAAATGTTGTTATCAATTGGTATTGTCAGAATTGTGAGCTGTAGTTTGCAAGAAATCAATGAAATAATATATGGCTTGCCTCTCACAAGTAATAAAATCTCAAAATGAGGATCCAATCATGTGTCTGCTCCCTGAGCGAGAGATAAAACCAGCGAAGAGAAGAGCACAGGACGCACCCTGGCAAGTGTCCTCTAGGGCAAAGGGATGTTATCATGGTGCCTAAGAGGAGGAGAGGGGATATTTTAAGTTAGATAAAAACAGTCAAAAAATTTAGAAAGGAACATGTAAACACCCACCTTAATATAGTAAGAATTCATAAATTGATACTAAAACACTTATATTGAAATAAAAGATTACTTATATTTTATATCTATAAAATTTGTGTCAATATTCTATATATAAAAGCTATGCTCATCATAGCTATCTGATTTGATTTTAAGATTAATTTCTAAATCTGCCAGCACATCAAATTTATTCAGTCATATACTATGTATAGACTATTTCATATTTTGAAAACACTTCAACTTATGCCAGATTTTTTTCTTTATATAATACTAGCAATGCAAGTTACAAGTTGCTGATTGCTTCCTATGTGGCAAAGACTGTGCTTGCCCAAAACTGCAGAGGCTCTGAGATTTGACCCTACTTCAGGGTGACCAACCTATTCCAGTTTGCCAGCAACTCATTTCAGTTTGCCCAGGAGTTTCTTGCTTTTAGCACTGAGAGGTCAACATCCTGGGAAACTCCTCAGATATGGGCAAGTTTGCCTGCCATCATTTTATGGATGTTGGTAGAAGACACAAGACTCCTGCTCAGGGTTGAAGGAGTTCATTGCTCACAGCACTGAAGGGAGACATCTTTATTATACTGGGTAGTAAGCATACTTACCCTTTGCTCTGGAAGGAGATATATTTCAACCTCCAAAGCTGTTCTCTTGAAAACAGCTTGAAAAGGTAATGCAGAATAAAAGGTAATCCTTGAAAAGGTAGTGCAGGATAAAAGGTAATCAATGTCTGCCTCTGCTCACCAGACACGCAGAGATTCAGGAGATCAAAGAACAATAGCACTAAGCATCTGAAGGATAGTCTGACTCAATCCTCACAAAAGCATGGGATAGGTAGTACTATTATCATCCCCATTTTAAAGATGAGAAAACCAAGGTTCAGGAAGCTTAAGGAATATGCCCAAGGTCACACAATTGGACAGCCAGGATTTGAACTTCAGCATCCTGATCTTGAACCACCATGCTGGTTAAAGCTCTTAACCACCCACCACAGTGGTTAAAGCTCCTAACCACCATGTTATGCCTTATACCATACCTCTGGAATCTGGTATTATTCTTCCAATTTTACACCAAAGGAAACCAAAGCACAAAGATATTACTACCTTGACTTTGTAAATGGCTTAGAATCCTACATCCCAGATTTTTTTTAGCATCATAATCTAACACCCTTTCTATCATAACTCATCTCTTTGCCATCTAAAAACATTTAGAGTCACAGTGGCAGTCATAAGTGCTATTATCTACAAATAAAAAAATGTCGAGGCACAATGGCTCACACCTGTAATCCCAACACTTTGTGAGGCTAGGTGGGAAGACTGCTTGAGGTCAGGAGTTCAAGGCCAGCTTGTGCAACATGGCGAGATCCTGTCTCTACAAAAAATACAAAAATTAGCCAGGTATGGTGGTGGCACTTGCCTGTTGTCCCAGCTACCCAGAAGGCTGAATTGGGAGGATCAACTGAGACCAGGAGGTTGAGGCTGCAGTAAGCTGTGATTACGCCACTGCACTCCAGCCTGGGTGACAAAGTGAGATACTCTTTCAAACTAAAATAAACTAAAA